TAACTAATAAAAACTATAACTAATATAACCTATATTAGTTAAATATAACTAATATGACTTTTTAATATAACCTTTAATATACAAGTAATCTTTACATAATTTACCCCATATATTGTAAAATATATTATAAAGTAGTACCTAGTCGTATAAGTCGATTAACTTTTTCTCTGGTAGTTTGAATGGCTGAATAATTTTAAGCACCGTATCTCAATGTTTATTTTGTACATCATGCACAAACGAATCAGTTCCATTTACTGTATTCAGTTGTCATGTTTGTAATTTTTGCTTCAATGCTTCTACTGTAAACTTTGTTCTTCCTAAAAATAGAGAGGAAGCAAATTCCTGTCTACAATGAGAACAGGCTAAATATGTCCACAGTCATCCACGACCAAAAGATAATTCAAAAACATTTTTTCAAAAACATTTTAAAAGGCTTATTTACATGGAGAATGAAATCAGATATTTTTACTAAACTTTTTGCCAGAAAAAGACAAAAATTACTTTTTTTTGTTTTGCTATTTAATTTTCTTTTTTTTTTCTAATAAAGATCAAGGAGAGAAAAAAAACTACAAATTTAAATTAGTGATATATCTATTCTAATAATTAAACGAATATCATATGGTTAACATAAAACGTGCCAATGAATAAAATCATTTTTCTGTTGTGGAAGCAATTTGTTCAGCTAGCACAAAATTATCTAAAATTTTACTAAGCGAAAAACTCGAACAAGAAAACCTGCAGAACTGCCAATGTACGCGTTAAGTTGTTCCTTCAAATATTGTTCCGATAATTCAAGTTCAAGATGTACAATACTAAACGGTAGGAATTTCAACAATAACAAATTACTTTTAATCTTTCCAAAAAAATTATCGTTCCTGAAGAAACTTGCCAAACTTATGAATTAAGCTTGTCAAACTTATAAATTAAGAAGTGTCACTTCTATTCAATGAGTTATAATATTTACCTTAAATATTTGAGTATTAGTAGATCCACGTGGAATAGACGTCCATCATGGTCACTCAGAAAAAAGAAACTCAAGAAAATTAGTGAGTGAAGTATAAAATAAGTAATAAACTCAAAAAACGAAAAAATCATAAATGTACAAAACGTATATCAAATCAACACTCTGAAATATACTTGGTGATAATTATTAATTTGGTCAAATGATTTCTTAGTTGACCAGTCAGCTTTTTCATGTGATATTTAATTCTCCATTTAGCTTAAATCTAGAGAAACTTGAAAAAGCAACCTTAAGAAACATAAAAACACCCCCGCATCCACTGAACCTTGTATGAAATTTTGTTGTTGCTGAACTTCCTAACTTGCATTTGAATAATTTGCACCACTATTTTGAACAGTGTGCGTTGCTCAATCCCAGAAGATGTCGACAACTCAAGGATTGGAAATGCTGTTGAAGGGTGTGGTATCATGCTAATCTTGGTAATACTAATGGCTAACAGTTGTTCTGAACCAGTATGATGGAAAATAACTAATAGCAAATCGTAACTAAAACTTTTGCAATTTGATGAACTCAAACAAACAACGATTTTCTTCTCCAATTTATTAATATCCGTTTTCCGCTCGGCAAATAACGCTTTACTTCTTTTCTCACACAAATCTACTTTATAATTTAGGAACGTAATAGAAGCAATTTCAGAAAATATCAAAAATATAAAGATCTTTTTTAAGTCAAAATTTCGCAATCACATGAACGAACCTACCATGATGGACTATGCCAGTGACAAAAATTCTGTAGAACATATTTTGTTTGAATAGGAGTCAATTGCTCCAGCCATACCTGTTACTATTACATTATACATGCTGGTGGCTAAAAATCCTAGAATGGCACGAATTATCGGTATTCATGAACTGCACCTCATCAGATGAATCAGCACCATTTAACTATTGCTGAAGCATTTCAGCATTTTCCTCACCCTTCAGTGGACCACATCGATCATCCGGTATGCGATACAAATAACAATAACCAATATCATATCCTAAACACCTTTTACCACTCAAAGCTAAATTAGACTTTAGCGAGACCGGGAAAAAAAATCAAACATATGCACAATCATTTAAAGAAACTGGCCATTTTCATAGCTTCCTAGTGTCACGAAATACCACTTTTGTTTTTGCCATGAACTTTAATTTTTTAAACCATACCTTTTATTTGCAATTGTATCTTCAGTAGCAGTACTTAATTGATGCTCTTCTGAAAAATAGTGTTGAATGAATCTGAACATCTCTCTATAATAATGGAATATGTACAAGTGAGTGAAAGGTATGCAAAAATGGTTATTGGACATGAGAATAAAAGACATGCAAAAGTGATGTCAGTAATGAAACATGCACAAGTAAAGTGAACGAAAAGCATGCAAAAGTAATGTCAGTAATGAAACACGCAAAAGTAAAGTGAACGAAAGGCATGCAAAAATAAAGATATTAATAGAATATATACATGCAAAGTGAATGGAAGGCATGCAACAATAAAGTTAGTACAGTGAAATGAATAAAAAGCATGCAAAAATGATGTCAGTAATAA